ATGACTGACAGAAACAGCCCTCTAACTGAACCTGAAAGATCAATTTGAAAGAACTTCAATGACTCGCATAATTCAAAAAATCGGTCGAACCAACCTGGTCCAACATCCAAAGGTTTTTCATCGTTTTTCAAATTACTGAGATTCTCGTCGGTCAGTTCTCTACCTTTGTCGTCAGAAACCGAGCTGATGGTTTCTGGATTCGGATCCCTGCAATATTCATAGGATAAAAAGAAAACCAGTGAAAGAGAAAAATGTTTTTGAAATGTCTTGAATACACAGCAACAAACCTGTTTTCAGAATCAATGCCGCTATCGAGTGTTTCCGATGGTCTCATCCGTGTATGGCGAAGGGAGACAACAGAGGCTCCTAGCTCAGTCAAACCACTAGCTACTGTGCTCGTCTGCAATAGAAACGATTTCAAATATACATGTTCGACTCTCTACAATCTTGCCATAGCTTTGCATTAAAAAAAGAAATGATAACGTAAGTTAATAAGAACTTAATTACCATCCTGGCAGCAGGTTTTATAGAAAATCTTTTAAAATTGATTTCAAACACTTGAAAAACCAAGAACGATGAGCTGAACTCATCAGCCAGGATTGTTTTCGCCTAGAGCGTGAGAGACAGATAGATAAGGCAGTAAGGATGCAGAGAAGCAGTGATAGTGAGGGAAGCTAAATGAAATGGTTTTCAAGGGCAGCAAAACAAAACTGAGCCTGCCATCCGTCAACAACCCATCGCGCCTAATGTCCCAACGATTAAGACGAAACTCATTACAACAACCTTCGAATCAAATTCGCTTTGAAAGCCGAAGAAGAGAAAAGAAAAGGAAAGCCCAAAACAATTTAATAGAAAAAGAAGAAAGAGTGAAAAAATAAGCAAAATTGTCATCTTACATGTTCGCTATGAGAGCGCGATCCTTGTGAATGAGACTCGCTACTGCTTCGCGACGAGCGACGCGGAGCTCTTGTTCGGCGAGACACAATTANTGGCTGAAGAATACTCGAGTTTAAAGAACATTTGAACCAAAGTTTATCTATTCAAAAATTCATTCGGGACCGTGTAAAAACCACTTCGAAACAACGTATTTTCAAATGACGACCTAAAGAAACTCACTGCTACATTTTGCGATCGAAGTTCACCATATCCAGTATTAAGAGGCGACGACGATAAAATTACACGTTCCGGTATGTTCTCGGAATCGTTAATCATGGATGGATGAGAATAGACCGATTCATCATCATCACTGAGGATGGTCTCTGAAACCAACAAAATATGAATAAACATCTATTCTTAGTTTCAGAACGCTGAACTATCTAAAGGACATGTTGACATACTTCGGCTGGATCTTTCCTTTCCATAGATTGGCGACAACACCAGTGCTGAACGCTCCGACTGCAAGAAGTCTATTGCAGACATTCCCACTTCGGTCGAGTTATCACGAAGCGATGACGCACGCACCCGTGGCGCCAAGGCACCCACTGAAGAGAGAAATAAGGAAAACGGCATTGATATTGTAGGTAGGCACCAACATACCTTTCAGTGGCTTCCCATTTACCAAACCGGCTAGTATAAGTGGCGATGGTGTCCATGTGTTAAGAAAAGAGCTATTTACAGCGGCACATACCGGGAGCTCGTCGAGAGTTTTCAACAATTCACTGACTTTCGTCATTTGCTCTGCATCACGAAGTAAAGCGTTTTCGTCATAGAATTGACTGTAAGATAACAATTTAAAGAATCTATCGTGAGCACTTCACAAGAGCTACGGCAACTTAAAGCAATGAACAAAATTCGCGAGTCTTACTTTATAGCCTTAGTCTCGCCAAGAAGTAATTGAACGTAATGTTCTAGCGAATTCTGATTCACAACGATTCGAATCCAGGCCTGTAAAAGAAAACCAAATCTGAGAAGCACACCACAATGCGAATAATAGTTCTACTCACTCTTCCTCGACCGATTTCCGATTTGATTTGCTTCAACGAACTGATTTCCGAAGTTATACTTTTATGTGAGTATTTGGAGACAAATGGCCAGAAGTTCTAAAAAACCAAACTTAGTAAAAATCTATCTCAACTTTTGGCACAAATTCATTTCTTTTGTAAACAAGCCAAACTGGTGTGTACGGACCGGCTCGGGATATTTCGCGTATCTAGATCCTTTCACAAAGAATGGATCCCTCAAGCCATGTATGAAAATCGCTTCGATCACGTTGCAGATATTTTGAGTGATCTCACTAAATCACATGAGTACCATAAAACGAAGCACTAGCAGTCGTTACGATATCACTGATAAGAAATGTAACTAAATGCACTTGCTAGCAAGAACGATGCCGTGAAAAATAAAGGAAATCTAAAAGAGCATCGTAAACAAAAACGTCCAAAGCTATATTGCTCACAAGTTATATTGAAGGGCAAAAATAAAATACGAACCTGGGAACACAGTCCTTCGTTGTGTATGGTGAAGATTTCGCAGCTTTCAGAACAGTTTCCATTTCTTTGATTATACCGGTTTTCCATTTTTCGTGATTCGAGTACGTAGACATGGCGAAGGCTGAACGATAGCGATTACTGTCTGACACCCCGACAAAAATCAACAACACGTAAATGCAGAGAAGCAATCGATGGATGCAGAGAAGAGGGCAACGCCTGACAAGATGGCAATCGTACAAACTTATCAAGTTTTTGATTCCGAGACAGCAAAGCATGGAATTATTACTTCATATTTTTCGATTTCTTTTCCAAAAAGCTGAATTTCTGGTTCTCTCTACGATTCTTTTTGAAACTGAACAAGTATAGTACTGATAGGATGCTTCCTGATAGTATAGCTAATTCACTTAATTAGTTCTACTGAACCTTGAAGTAGCCCAAAAAACAAGTTAGAGTGAATTAAGTTGACGAGTATGGATCGAAAACAGTAAATATCAAGTGTCAGCGAGGGTGCGGTGTTAGTTGGACAAATAAAAATCAGTGGAACGACTTTGCTCGCACAAAATTAATGAAACACTGAATTCCATGAACGTCCACAGAGCATGAATGCGAAAAGATGCTGAAAATAGATATGTTTTAGACATCTCAATTCCACCCACTGCATGTTTACCCGATGTTTGGCATTTAGAGACCAGCGTAGGACACTGGTTAAGTGGTCAAGATGAAGCTCAAGTGAAAATCATGAAAACATCTCCAAACATCAACTTGATGTTAAAACATTTTTGGAAGAAACATACGTATTCCCCTGTGCCAAGCATGACTAGGCACTGAGCCTTATGAATGTAAACGAATGCGATTCACATGAGAAACGTGACTGATTTGAATCTCGTAAATGGAATTGTCACGCACGCAATATTTCGTAAAAAAAGAGCTTCGATGAATCATAAGAGCAAAAAGTGCTAGAAAAACCAGCCGATGCACTAATTGTAAGACTGACTAATAAGCACACCTTTGATGACCCACATCATCGACTGGAGTACGAGTACTT